ATATCCTGTTTGGCTTGGTCCAAAGGAAGTGCAAGTGCTCACAAGGACATTATATTTATGTGTTAAGATGAGCTATGTGTGCTATGTATTCTCCTTTGACACTTTGAAACAATTTAGCTATTTCATATTTGCTGACATCATCTAGTCGTAATGCAAAAAGCCAACTTCCCTCATCAGGCCTCGGGATTTCGTCCTTTGGGGTTGGGGGCGTGGCATTCGTTCGGGGGTGGTTTCCGTCACTCGTGCTCTCCCTCTCGCACTTAACTATTGACGCCGTTGACGTTGACAGTTACATTGATTTATGGTCCGCTTGGACCTCTTTTTTTTGGTCCTACGATAACTGAAATCTTATCCGTCAGGCTGGTTTTCCTCCCCCCAAAGTCCCCGCTGACCCGGGGCTTTTCCTCTAATGAATATCATTTGAGGACAATTAGTTAATTGAGTGCCTTATCCAGGCTTATCCTTCTTTCTTGCTTTCTTCCTTTTTTCCTAGGTGCGTATGTCTTATCAGCAGGACTTCTACCTCGTGCCGGCTAGCTTTTCCGACTGTTTTTTTTCGCTAGCTGACCGATCTTGTTTCCCCCTTCCATTCTGCACTCCCAGGAGCATGGGGAGAAGGGCCGTCGATTGCGGTAAATGCAGCACTTCCGATGCCAGCTGATGGTCCAAGGAAAGGGGAGCGGGGAAAAGGAGGCGAAAAAGTGTGTAATGAATTATTACCCTCTGATAAAAGTGCACGACGAGCTGTTGTTTTTTTCCTGGGTGGTTTTCCGCTCTCCGACTGCCGTTGGTCGAACGTTAAAAGCCAGTTTTGAAATGGTGTTAAAAATATTAAAGTTTGTGCATCTAAAAAAGCGATTCAATGCAGCTGTCTGGCAAGTTTTGTAAATTATTAAATCAAATGGTTCTAAAGACTTAAAAAATATATTTCTATTTTGATTTAACAATTCCCTTTAATAATATTTATCCCTTAAGTATTTACTGAAAATTTAAAGGATCAAAATCATAAACTCATGAATTGTATGAAAGAAACCATAAGCCTCCGCCAGGATCCCTACAGTCCACCCATCTTCCGTTTCGGATCGTTTAACAAGCCATCCTCAGGCTCGGACCATCTACTCTGCCTTCCATTTGCTAATCACTTGCAACATTCACCGCTCCGGGGTCTAGACAAACACTTCAATTAGAAAAGGCCGCTCTTCCCTCCCCCCAGAAAGCCCAGTGCCCCTCCTTGCCCGACGGCTCTGTGCGCTCACAAATGAATTCATTTTGTTTCGGATTCGATGAATCAGTTGGCAACTTTTTTTTGCCATTGCTTGGCCTCCACAAAATGGGGGGCGTGGCCGGAGCGAAAAAAAATAAGAGAGGGCGGCAGACGATTTGCGGATGTTAAATAAAAATGTGAAATGAACAAAATACAAAACGCAACAAAAGCATCAGAAACAAATGGACAAACGATGCTGCACCTTTCTAGATGAAGCTGCAGTTGGGGAATGGAAGATGATATGGACCGAGAAAAAATAAAAGGCTTTTCATTTATTCATTTCAGTCATTTTTAAAATCTGTTCTTTCATTTACTAATATTTTCTTTACTATAAATTATAGAAAGAAGTTTTTTAAATAAAATAATTATTTTACATATGCATTACATTTTTGAAATTATGTACCAATATTCTGTAATTTAAAGAACTTACAAGTGACAAATCTTCCAGATTTCTACTTAACAAAATAAATATTACAGGCATTACGAAGTATCATTATGGAGCTTCTTGAAATGTACTTATTCAATACTTCTTGAAAACTTTATTTAATATGTAAAATTCCCATTTCGAAGTGAATAATACATTTTGTTGAGTGCAGAAGGAGGGCAAGGGAAACCGGCTGAGCTAGCTGGTTGGGATTAAGTTGTGAATCGTGATCTCGGCGAGCACTAAGCAAGTGGATGGGACTGAGCTTCGGCCGAAGACTTCCAGCTGCAGTTGCAGACAGAGTTGGAGTGGGAGTCGCAGTTTCTGGCCGAGTCCGAAGAGCCTTGGAGTCTGGGGCTTGCCCTGCCCGCGGTGATTAATCCGCGAACCTCTCCCCGGTCCACAGCCACAGTTACTCCATGAAGGTGGAAGATTCTCAACTTTAGATACTTTCGGGGTTAAGATGACGGTGGACTGCGAGCAGCTGGCCCTGGCTTTGGCGATATTTAACCCGTGATTACAATGTTTGTAAATTTTTTCCCTGCCTCGGCCTGGCTCCTCGTGAAGATTTCGGCTTATTTTATTTTTTATTTTACTCCGGGTTCACCTTGCGGGCCAATTTGTTCGAGGGACTGCTGAGAGTCTGGCAAAATGAAGCTAAATTGCTGCAACAGGCGGAGTGGAGAGCTGGGGCTTATGCTCCTGGTAGTTGAGCAATTTATTATTGCCGCAAATTGATTTTTATCTACGCTTAATCGATTGTTCCTAGGAGTGACTGGGAAATGCGCCAGAGCGGGCTCAGCGAAAATTATTTATGTTAGTTCACACGTTGTTTTACACGTAATTTATTAACTCGCTTTTCTAGTGCAAACTCTCTGACCTTGGGGGCAGTGTTGGAAAATCGGTTTTCCGCCCGTCTTTGGTGTGAAGGTGATTTACAATTTATTCCGCCCCCTCTCGAACGACGGCCATGCATGATGCGATAATTTGCGCCAGTCTGGAGCTGGCCAAAAAGATATTTATGACAGAGAAATGAGCGCCAATTGCTGCAATTACCAGCGCGTGTTTGGCCGTCGGCAATGGCAGGCCCAAACGAGTTTAGATTTAGTTAGATAGATTTAGTGTGGAGACAGGCATCTATTGGGGGCGGGCTGGGGAGTTAGGAATAGAGTGGCAGATGGAGTTGATTTGTTGAGAATTTGGTCAATTACCGGAGAGAAATTCCTTTGAAACGGGGCTTCGAGGAAGTATGACCAAGACTTCACAGAGTGTAGAGTAAAATAAAATTAAAATAACAAATTGCAAGTTGATTATGTAATTAAATACGTGTAATTAAATTAAAAAATAAATTTAGAAACTAATTAAATCTTACATTTCTATTTGAAATGAGTAAAAAAATTAAATATATTTATTTAATTGGTTCTGCCAAAGTTCTTATTTCTCCTCCGCATTAAAAACGTTATTAAAAATGTAGCTCCTGACAATTTCAGCCCCGGCTAACAAATCGATACATTTTCAATATCCGCAATTGTAACATGTAAATGCGCCGAGGGGGGAAATGTAAATTCGGGGGACATGTGGAACAGCGGAGGAACCGCAGAAAAGCCAGACCGCATCGTTGTGTTTTATATATTAATTTGCGAACAATCGAAAATCGACATGTGACACGCGTTCGCTGGGCCCCCGTTTTCCCCCGCCACTGTCTCATTTTTGTGTTTTTTAAATTTATGCGTTACGAATTGCATTTGCAATTTTTTCTCCCTTTTATTGTTGTTTTGCGGCTGCTCTTGTTGTAAATGCAACATCGATGAATGCGAAATGAGGGAAGCGGGATGAAGGGAGCGAGAGGGAGATATCCGATCGGGAGAGAGAGGGAAGACATCTTCCCTCCGTTTGTCACAAATAATAATAATAATCGAGGCAATGAGGGACCCCGAGAATCGTCCCTGTAAATGTACGGACTATACTCCGATATACGTTCATGTAACCGACCTGCATCTGTCTTTATGTCCGTCTCCCTCTGTCTCGCCTTTCCTCACTGTCCCTCTTTCTCTCTCTCTCTCTCTGCCCGGGACATATCAAAAACAATTCCAGCTCATCAGCATCATCGTTGTCAGCCCCTTTTCCCCCTATATATCCATACATTTTATACTTTTTTTTGCCTCCCCGACATTCGCACACGCCATAAATCAATGTTCGATTTTCCCAACAACAACTGAAGGGAAATTCGCAACGAAAGAGAGGGAAGACAGGCAAGGACACAGGACATTATGTTCGCGCCATGTTTAAAATTCTTTTTTTCCCGGTCTGCTGTTTTGCTTCCTTTTTTTCGCTTTTCGCTCGCCTGATTTTCAATTCTCGTTTTGTCCAATTTCTTTTTTTTTCTGCCCTCAGCGCGTGTTGCATTTCATTTCATCTCATGCGTTACACACATTTCATTGTTGTTGCATTGCTCAATTCCATTTTCAATGTGCCAGCCGCGGTGGAAATGCATTACATTTTCTTTTTTTCGGTGACATGCGGGGCGCCACGGAAAAAGAAACAAGGGAAATCGGGACAGGGGAGCGGAAAACGGAGGCCAGGTATTCCTATATTGCCAACCCAAGGAATATTTGTGGTAAATTGAACAGATTTCAGCTGTGCAAGACGCTCAATGAAAAATAGTTCTGAAAATAGCCCAGCGAAAGCGGAAAAGTGAGTGGAAAATAAGAAGAACTCAAAAAGAAAGTTTAACATACAAAATATAAAATGATTTGTTAACTTAATTTTATATCTTGAAAAACGTCCGAAAAAGAACAAACATTTTGTTTAAAACTAATGTACATGTAGGTAAATTAAAACTGCGCTAAAAAGAAGTTCCAAAACTATTCAATTTTAAAATATTAATATTAAAATTATTACCTATTAAAATTAAAACTCTATTATAATTTCCGTTTAAAAATATCATGCCAATAATAATTCCCATGGTCTTTTCCTCAAAAGGAACTTTCTCCGGGAACCTCATAAAAATAATGCACTTCGACCCCAACGAATCGCGTGAAAACCAAACCAAACTGTATGTAGTCATAGAAAATATTTATACAAAGCATTTTCGACACTTGCTGAGCGGGTAAAAACTTTTGCCCCAGCAGCTGTTTCGAAACTTTTTACAACTTTTAATAGACCCAAAATATAAAATAAACAAGAGCCGAAACTAAAGAAGTAAAATCGGCATTTTACCTGCAGTGGATTGAGCGACACTTTCCGTCGAACTGAAACCTCCGGAAAATGGATGAGTTGAAGGAAAGAGACGAAACTGAGTTCGTTTTTCGGCTATTTGCGATACTTTTTCCGCTTCGTCGAGGGCCGTAATTTTCGCTTTTCGAGGATAATCGTGGACAGTAGCTCAATGGGAGTTATGGGGCACATGTTCGCTCGATACGGCCGGAGGGGGGTGAAGACGCGGAGGGGGGCGGGGAAGGGCTCAGATCCATTGGCCGTGTCAGCCGCACATTTGGCCAAAATCAATCGGACACTCTGTTTGTGCTAATTTTAGCAATGGTTGAAAGTCATTTGCCGACGGGAAAATTGTACGGAGATACTTTATCGCTTTTTTTTGCCACGTTTTTCTCCGGAAAATTATTGCGCTCGAATCTCTCTCGACTCGACGCTGCGAAATTGCCAACTAGAGATGCCTCCAGTTTTGTTGGCCGCCTTAGGAGCCAAAATACAAAAGTATTTTCCGCACTTTCGGCTCTCCTCCATCGGCTTCTTCCTCTTCTTTAGGAGCGTTTTGGCTGGCGCTCGAAAATGCTTAACAAAAGCCCCAAAATGACAACAAAGGGGCGGGAAAGTGGGGTCGAATCAAGGCGTAATAAATTATTATGCTTAAGAGAACGGCCCCCGGGGTCAAGAGAGAGAGATTGAGAGCCCGAGTAGCCACATAATAATAACGCAATTTTCAACTAGCGATAAACTTTGGGTAAATGACTTCATTGCTGTGGCAACTATAACTTTATGGCTCTTTGATAGCTCCCCATTCCCTGCTCAACCAATACCAATTCTCTTAGAGATTCTCGGCATGCGCAGTTTATGGGGGCTCACTCTCTGTCTCTCTTTCTCCCTGACACCCCCTACAAAATGCCACCATTCTCACCAATATCCCTGCTGTCGAAAAGTGGAGGGATCCGACAAAAGCAAAAAACAATCAAGACCAGAACAATAACAACCCGTACTATGGAAGCCAATGGTGATCCGACTGAATATATGGCATGCTCGTAAAAAAGTTTGAAAAAAATAAAAATACTAAGACCGTTTAATACAATTTTTTTAAAAAATGCCCTATTTTATATTTGAAGCTTCAATATATTTTTAAGAATATGTATTGTGATTTGCAATCATTATTTTGGTGATATTCCGGAGAATTTTTATTAAATACAAATTGTTTCCCAACTTCCTGTTTGCAATCTCAAGTGCTTTCAAAAATCCATTTGATCCCATTGTCGCGCTCGGAGATTGTCATCGTCACCATGGCCATCATCATCTGCACATTTATTTGGCTTGGGAGTGTGCTGCATGTAAAGGCAGCTAATAAAATTAAAATGCCATATTTCAGCCGTTGATAACAATAAGTGCGCTCAAGTTGCCCCTCGGATGCTGCCGTCCTCCTTTCTTTCCTCTGCGATCTTTCCTTACTTTACCACTGCGTCTGGCGAGTAGGAAATTATTTTTTGGCACGAACGCACGAACGTGCGGCCTTGCCACAAAATGTGTGGAGTCTCCAAATGAGGGGTACGATTTTCGGGGGGCAGGCGTCTGTTGATATGACAAAGCATTTGAGCTGAGAAAAAATACCTGTGGAAAAACAGCCTGCAAGGAATTTTCGTAGATATTGATTTTGGTGTGTCAACGCCGACGGCGCAATTCTCTCAAGCGAAAATTATGAAAATTGAAAATACATTTCTGGAAGGGGCCTGCTGAAGTTTTCCTAATTTCCCAGACAAGTGCGATAAGCATCTAGCTAGACAGGAGGAAATGATTTATGTGGACTTGATTTTTATTATTGATTATTAACCAATGGTTGGGGGAATTTACGGCTGCACTGTAAGTATTATTATTTTACTATTATCCACAGGTGTGAAATAAATATGGGCTAACATGTATAAGTAATTTGCAACTAATGAGTAGTTCAATAGTTGATATATCTTTAATTCAAACTTTAATATAAATTCAGATTTATCTCATTTAAAAGATTTTTTTCTGTGTTGCTATTTTGGATCTTTGGCAGGCTAATCTATTAATGTGCATATTTATTTTGTGAATTGAAAATATGAAATTGGATTCCTTCATACATATTTCCCTTCAGTCATGGCTTGTAATTAAATTAAAATTCCTTTAACATGACAAGCCGGGAAAACAGACACACATACTCTGGCAGAAGGAGTCAACAACAGGCGTCCATGTCCTGGTAATGGAAAACCCGTGTGTCTGTGTGTGTTGACTGCATCTCTTGAGCTCGTTTTGTGCAAACTAAGACACGTTGTCAGCATTCATGTCACTGAAAGAGAGAGGTGGCCCACCGAGAAAGAGAGGGGGCGAAAGGGGGGGCTGCGAAAGGGAGAGGGATAGCCCTTTCAAGTGGCTTTTGCATGCTGGCCAAAAGATTTTTCATTAAAATTTCCCTTCCATCGCCTAATAGTTTTTCTTTAGCCAGAGAAATTCTGCATTGTAAGTGAAAAAATGTAACATTTGTTGGGGGTGTGGATGTCAACTTTTGGAAGCTTGGAAACTTTAAGTTTAAATTTTCGTAATTACCGAAAATTTTACTGCTTTTGGTAAAAGCTTTAATATTTAAATGGAAATTTGCAGCGTTAGTTATTTAGTTATTTAGCTGTGCTAAAAGTCACAGGAACTGGGACAACTTGTGGTGACGTTTTAAAAATTGTTTGGCTTAATGGAAATTAAAATTTAAAACAACCTTAAATTGTTCGAAATTTAATAAATTACACAGGCCGACAAAGTGTGACATGGGTCGGTGTCCAGGCCTGCCACCATTTTATTTCGATAAATGAGGCTTTTCTAAGCATAAGTTGCCACTACGCCTATAGTCCATTAGCTCTGGTATTTGCGGTATCTTTAATTTAAGAAAATCACAAATTTTCTTCGTCTTTGGGGATTTATCTTCAAGAGTGGTCAACCAATTTTGGTAATCTTTTCGGAATTAAATAGTTAAATGTCTCTTTTATACGGTCGTTTTGGAAAATTCAATCTAACTCAACCACAAGAGGAGGTGGGCGCATTCAAAATTTTAAAGTCACAGCAAAGTTTAAAAATCTTCATTTGTGAACAGCGTTTAAAAATTAAATAAAAATATTTTCTTCTACAATGCATTTTTGATCCAAAGACACCTTAGGTCCCTAATTTTTAGGACACTCATCAGGCTTTTGTGTATTGTTTTGGAATTTTTAAAATTGTTTTTCTTACTTCCTTCACAGTGACGATTCACAAACAGTGCCCAAACCTGTCACAATTTTAAATATCATAATTCTAAACGATCTAAGTAGTTTTGCTTTGAGTATAAGCACATGAGCGTAGCCTACTAATCTTTGGGGGCTGAAATGCTTGAAGTGTAATCCCCCTCCAGGTTTTAGCTTACGCCCATGTATAAATATTTTTAAAGCAAGGGTCACTTGTGCTCAAAAACAGTTATGAGTTACGTAAAATAGTGACAGGTTTGGGCACTGTTTGTGAATCGTCACTGTGAAGGAAGTAAGAAAAACAATTTTAAAAATTCCAAAACAATTCACAAAAACCTGATGAGTGTCCTAAACAGTAAGAACATAAGGTGTCTTTGGATCAAAAATGCATTGTAGAAGAAAATATTTTTATTTAATTCTTAAACGCTGTTCACAAATAAAGATTTTTAAACTTTGCTGTGACTTTAAATTTTTGAATGCGCCCACCTCTTCTTGTGGTTGAGTTAGATTGAATTTTCCAAAACGACCGTATAAAAGAGACATGTAACTATTTAATTCCGAAAAGATTACCAAAATTGGTTGACCACTCTTGAAGATATATCCCAAAAGCCGATGAAAATTTGTGATTTTCTTAAATTAAAGATACCGCAAATACCAGAGCTGATGGACTAAAGGCGTAGTGGCAACTTATGCTTAGAAAAGCCTCATTTATCGAAATAAAATGGTGACAGACCTGGACATCGACCCATGTCACATTTTGTCGGCCTGTGTTATCTCCCTTTTTTATATATTAGGCCTTTAAAAATATAACGTTAAATAAAACTCTCTGCTTTGTAAGGCAGCCTAAATCAGCTCAAATTTCGAATAACAATTAATTAAATGTTTCCCCATTTCACTTGCAACGTTTGCCAATCTAAAGTCGCACGCGTTGAAATGCTCTTCCCCTTCCGAATTTTCGTAATGGACTTCGCAGCGTTTGGACAGCGTTTAAAGATCGCACTCGCATTTATCGTTGAGGGCGAAAGCTTCATGATGAGGCTTCAATCCGGCCAGACGCCACCCCCTTTAAATGGTGGTCAGGGGGAATGGAGGGGGTTAGCCGGTCCGGGGGGAAACACAAAAATCTTTTTACGTCAGTTCTGCTTGTCTTGTTGCCTGGCATTTTCTTGCGTTGTTACCTTCGGAGCGGGAACAGTGCGAAATGCTTGGTTGCGTTGTTGCCCCGAACCACCCACCCGCTCCACCTCAGCCCCTCCCACAGTTACCATCGCCACCCCTCCTTCGAGAGCTGCAAAGTTGGCTAATTTCTGGCCAATCTGGGATATTCTCATGTACTTCACAGGGGCTTAAAAGCTTTTGTTATTTTGTTTATCCTATTATTACTTTTTATAATTTTATTTTGTTATTAGTATTATGTTATCTGCGGGAAATATAAATAAAGATTGTTATTAGAGTAATTTGTTATTATTAGTAATTTAGAGTAATAATGTTTATATATGTAAATCTTAACATTAATTTAATATTGAAAAATTCTAATATTCTTTTTGAATAACACTGATTTCCTTAACATTTGAATTCGAATTTGATTTAGCTATATTTTGTAATTTATTGTTAACAACACTGCCTCCGTTTCGTCTGTGACTCGCCGGCAATTTCCTTTAGCGCAGAATATACAACGAAAGCGAAGCGAAAAGTTTTTGCGAAAAACGTTAAACGCAATTGTCCGTCCGTCCGCCCCTTTGTGTCTGTCTCCCTCGCGCTCCGTCCGTCCGCCTGTCCCCGTCTCTGTCTGTCTGTCTGGCCTGGTTCATCCTTCCGCTTACCGCCGCCCGATCCCCGTTTCCCGATTCCCGCTTTCCACTTTCCGCTTCCCATTGCCCGCCCCTCGGGCAGTTTAGTATATAACAAGTCAGCGTCAGCTGCTCCTTTCCGTTCCGCCCGCTACAGTTCCTA